TAAATGATCACTATAACAACAGACATTACTGCCATCATGTGCCATTATTGTCAGGAAACTAAATTAACTTGAGAAAGTCATTATGGGAGAAGAGAGTTTCCATGGAGAAATGACAGTTGTGATATTGTCTCTTTAGCGCCAAAAGTGTGTTAACTCTCTATGCATTAAAAAGACAGATTTAGGGCCTTCTGACTCCGAACATATATCTTTCATCTTTTGATTTATAACAGAGACGGTGATATCCTTGGTGACCATTGCTGGTTGTTTTACACTTCATGCTTCATATTTGTATATAGTTGATTTATTTCATTTCAATCAATAGATCAAGCAGCTCTTTTAGATTTCAAATAGGAAATAATCATTAAGTTGGTAATCATGATTCATAAATTCAAAGAGATTAGGTTCTGTTCTTCAACGTAAACAGGTGTTCATTATCATCATATGTTATTAATCATTGGCAACTGCTTTGGTGCAATGATTGAATTAATTCTAAGAAACTATATCGTGTGATAGATTGGCTTACTAACATGATACAGCTGCAGATTGGGGTGGGTGGGGGAAGGGGTGTGTAGTTGCACACCCCCCCCCCCCCCCATTTCAATTGGCTAATTTGATAACTTATTTCTTTCTTGTTTATATTGGTTGTCAGAGATTTATGAGATGCTAAGATAATGTAACAACCCTTCCATTGGGGGGGGGGGGGGAGTGTCAACCCCAACCCTAATTAGGACTAAAGAATCCATATTTGAATGAGAGTTTGGTAGACAGAAAATAAAAACAATCTACTTTACCTTTCACATGGATACTAAAGACATAAAATGTAAAGAAGGGATGAGCAATTACATAATTAACCATGCATTCAAGCATTCAAGGTATGGTTATACATGTAGGTTTTAATATATCTGCAAAACTGAAAGTAAGAATTAAAGTGCCTTACATCCACTGCCAAAGAAGCACTATTAATGTTTATTCAAGGTACAGTACACGTTAGGTCATACTAACATGTTTGTATTGGGACATAATACAGCAGTAATACATGCATGTGTACATTTGATTCGCTAAGATCTCTTAACTTTGATTCTTTCTTCTTTCTGAAGTTTTACATATAATTGAAACATACATAAATCATTCCTTATTTAACAAAATATATGTTAACTGTAAACTGTAAATTACCACAAGAGGAAGCTTGATGTACTCCCATAAGAGGGGTGATACAAAGAAAGTTATTAGAGCACGACTACCCTTGAGTATGCCAAGGTGCAATACCTGTATTAAAGATCTCTTCTTTTCAAGCTAACAAAATTAAATTAACTAGATACCCCACACTGACCTAAGTAAGGGCACACCTGACAGACCTGACAAATGAAGAAGAAAAATAAAGAAGAAAAAAGAAGGAAATAGCTTAATGAAAATCAGTTCAAAGAACAGAAGAAGGATTCTTCGATCAAGATGAAGTCCATTGAAGCATGACCTGATAGCTATCCCATACCAAGGTAATACACCTGGCTTTTAATTCTAATCAACCATAACCCTCCAGCCACAGACCTTACAGAAATTAGGTCAGCAAAGACTAAAGGCTGGATCGGCTGCGGAGAAGACGTCTTAAGTCAGTGAAGCGTGATGCAAGGATTTTCAAGGTATACCTGCTCTACAAGTAAGACGTCCGGTATGGTATGGTACGTACATGTACGAAATTAAAGTTACCATCAATGCTAAGTTTTATACAACAGCTAGGGGCTCCTGGTATTCAAAGGATAGGTGATTAAACTCCTTTTAAACTCCTTTCACTTTGTAAAATATAAAGAAACAAATTCTGCCTTTTTCCTTTCACTCAACCATGCTAATATTTCATGCTGCTAATATTTACCTTCCCATTTTAACATATTGGTATACCTACACACATGCCTATGTGCACAATTTGTATTTCAGAGAATATTTCAGCTACTGAGCTGATGATCTTGCTGATGATGTAGAATTCTTTGTTTTTGGGGGGGGGGGGTGTCATTGGAAAAAAAATTATGTACACACTCTTACTGCAGGAAGTAAGAAGAAGAAAAGGATTTCCCTTCAGGTGATATGTGGAAGGCAAGATTTGTTATGATAATAATAATAATAATAATGAAAATAATAATAACAAAAATATTGAGTTATTGTATAGCACTCATGTCTGTCAGACTTGACACTCCTGGCACACTTAAATCGTTGCCCTAGCTTTAGCATGGCTGCCATTATCTAGCATTTCAAGGAATAATTTCATGCCAGGTACGCAGTTACCTCAAAGCAGTCTTTCTACGTCCCATATGCTACCAGTATCATGGAACATTGAAACTGTTATTTTGATCGATATTTTGAATGATCTAAGCTAAACAGTAAAGGTACTTCATACAATCACTAGGTAATATGGCCGGTAACATATGGAACAAACTGATTTGTAATGGCCCGTATATATACATTTCAGCAATTTACCATACCGGTAAACAAATTTTCTATTAATTCATAACACAATACAGACCTGCTTAACCTCACAAAAATGAAAATTTGCATCTGCTTCTGGGCTTTTATTCAGTTTATTATTGTAGTAAATTATTCAAGACTTTATCAAAGCTAAAGGTGTACATGTATTAAGGCTATACTGGTCACCAAGGCCTGCATTGGTTGACAAACACCTAGATTGATGGTAATCTGTATTCATTTTCATGGTTCTACATGACCTAAAGGTTCTCTCAGCTATTGACGTAGAATGCACCAGGCCCTTCAAAGGCCAGAATGGTCGTTGCCCCCTGTATCATTAGAGAGAAATCCATTATGACCCGGCCTTTATAACGAGGATGGAGTAACAGGTTCACTGTGTGCATGTGGTGCTTTGGTATGAAAGAATTTGTCCACGCATCTATCTAACATCGACCTAACCTGGCACAGTATGCACATGTACCATGCAACAATATTTCCAAATGCAGTTCATAAAAGCGATGCTTGTTTCTTAATTGTCCCTTTTCCGTCCTCCAAATGAAAATGACTGGGGACTTGATGGGGAGTGACAACCATAATTCTTTCAATCTTTTCAATCTTGAACGGCTGCTTTCACTATTACGCAGGAAACAGATAAAATGCCTTTTTTAATAAAAAGTAAACCTGTTTCTACAACCATTTTTTCATCATATTTTGTATAATGTTCTCTTTTAAATGCAGCACCAATATTGATATCTACGTGTACAGTACATGGATGTGAAACTGTTTGATCTTTAATTTGGCAAAACAAAGGACTTCCCTTTAAGCATCAAATGAAGAGCCTGTGCCAACAAACTACTGTAGGGGGTACCATTACTGGTGTGAGTCATACCCATAAATTGAATTAAATACTCTTAAAATGTGCCCCTAACAAGCACTAATGCCAGCAGATGAAGGTGTTTTTATAATTATGCATGCTAAGTATGTAAAGTATATACGTAACTAGCTAATAGCACTGTAAGAAAGGATCTCTGCAGAACCTGTATGGCGATCATGATTTGTATATTCCTGCAACCATAATACACCTACAAACTCATAAATACATTGTAATAATAATATTTAGCTTTTATATAGCGCTTAATACAAATGTCTCTAAACACTTTACAAATATACTGCTGGATAACCAGGAACTTCCACGATTGTTAACGACAACCATTTCCACAGATTTGCAAGAACTCCACGTTGCGATTCAATTATTAACAAAATTAACCTGTGCCCGCCTTTTGAAACCAAAGTGGAATACCTTTATACCTTCAGTACAAGAGTGAACTCCCATTTTTTTTGCTCGTGAGCAAATTTTTAGAAATATTGTGCCCCTCTTTTACAAGTATCCTGGATCCACCTCTTGCATAAATGCTTGAATTTTTTTTTAATGCCTGAAGAGAAGACTTACCTTTGGATAAGGAATTGTGCGAGATGTCTGTGTCCACATGTTGATGCGGCATGAAGTGGTGTCCATAACTCCCTGTCTGTTACGTTGACATCGGCTCCTTTATCTACCAGTATCCTCATCATCGCCTCATTGTTATCTATACATGACTGCAAACAAAATCACAGGAAAGCAAACATCATTATGGTTATTCTATTTTATGTCACAATAAAAATGTACAGCATTAATAATTCTAAATAATGATGTCCCTTAGAGGTTCAAGATAACCGATGTCCATGGTCTATGAACCCTTTCTTATTTTTTCATTTCTTCATTTTTTTATTTGTGTGTATAGAATACACAAAAATAAAACTATGATAACTTGCATCTTTTTAGTAGGTAAAACATCGCCTCATTGTTATCTATACATGACTGGAAACAAAATCACAAGAAAGTAAACACAAACATCATTAAGGTTATTATGTTTTATGTCACAAGAAAAATGGAGATCATTATTAATTCTACATGCATTTGAGTTTCAAGATGGCTGATTTCCATGGTCTATGAACCCTTTCCTATTTTTCATTTGCCAAGGAAACTGGTGTGTACAGAATACACAAAAAGATAACATACAGGTACGATACCTTGCATCTTTCTAGAAGCAAAACAGGCTCCATCCAAGAACAGCATATTTGCAGTAGCAACTATTTCTATTTTGCTTTGTTATTTTCTTTTCTTTCTATTCTTTTCTTTTGATTTGTTTTGGGGTTGAATTGACCTTTTACATAGAGGCATTACAACATACCTAGGTTAACACATATTTTGTAATCTAAACAGTACATCTTGTTTCCAATACAATAGTTTGCCCTACACACATAATGCATGTAGCAGTAGTTCACCATCTAACTTAGATCTCCCAGATCAGTAGACTGATACTATACTGGCTAACACAACCTACTGTATCAAGGTTACAAAGGCCTTATCAGGGACAGACAGACATCTTCACATCTATCGAGAGACAGAAGGCCATAGTTCACCATCTACCTTAGATCTCCCAGATCAGTAGACTGATACTACTGGCCAACACAACCTGTCAAGGTCATAAGGGCCTTATCAGCGACAGACAGACAGACATCTTCACATCTATCGAGAGACAGAAGGCCATAGTTTGCCATCTACCTTAGATCTCCCAGATCAGTAGACTCATACTACTGGCTCACACAAGCTGTCAAGGTCACAAGAGCCTTATCAGCAACAGACAGACAGACATCTTCACATCTATCAAGAGCCAGAAGGCCATAGTTTGCCATCTACAGTACATCTACCTTAGATCTCCCAGATCAGTAGACTCATACTACTGGCCAACACAACCTGTCAAGGTCACAAGGGCCTTATCAGCGACAGACAGACAGACATCTTCACATCTATCAAGAGCCAGAAGGCCATAGTTTGCCATCTACAGTACATCTACCTTAGATCTCCCAGATCAGTAGACTCATACTACTGGCCAACACAACCTGTCAAGGTCATAAGGGCCTTATCAGCGACAGACAGACAGACATCTTCACATCTATCAAGAGCCAGAAGGCCATAGTTTGCCATCTACCTTAGATCTCCCAGATCAGTAGAATGATACTGCGGGCTCACACAACCTGCCAAGGTCATAAGAGCCTTATCAGCGACAGACAGACATCTTCACATCTATCAAGAGCCAGAAGGCCATAGTGAAACCTGTACACTCAAACCTGCTTTAGTGACCACCTGTCTACAACAAGCACATTTTTTATTTCCCTTGAAAATGGTTTCTCATTGAAACATGTACTAAAGGAACCTGTCTACAAAGACCACCTGTCTATAAAGACCACTTGTTGTGTTTCCCTTGGGCGGTCACTATCGACAGGTTTGACTGTATCATATAAAGACCGCTCTACAAAGACAAGATAAGTGGTCTTCATAGGCAGGTGGTCTTTATGGTCATGCCCCTTTAGTAGAGGGTTCAATGAGAAAGGATGTTGAAGGGGAACATATTGTCTTCATATAGACAGGTGGTCACTAAAGAAGGATCAACTGTATTTTACATAGAGTTATACACTGTAGCTCATCTGGATCTTAGCCTACACCTTCATGATGTCTCCTTGAGAGCCAGAAGGGCATTAACAGCTAATATTTTAATACAGAGAGTTACATTTCACACCTTTCTGTAGCGCCCTCAGCAGACGACGGGGCATACATGTACATACTATCATCAAAGAGAACAACCATGTATGACGATTTTTTTTATGGGAAGCCATTAAGAAAAGCCATAACGAAGGCACACTTTGACATTCTTTGCTCCTGCCACAATATTTCACTATTCAATACAATTCAATTCAAAGAGATTTTCCCTCTTTTCCAGAAATCTTATCACATTCTATAAATAATGTAATGTATCCAGGGTATCCTAAGAGCATGGTAATACATCAAAATCTCCATTACTTCTGTCCATGTAGGCTAAGTACATGTACATCCCGTGAACAAAAGATTGCATGAATTGCAGATCAATCACCATTTTTTTTTACAAATCTGAAAGGTCATGAAATTTACATCTACTGGGAGTCATATGGACATAATCCCTATAAAAACCTGTTACACATTATACATTGTATACCCAATGGCCATAGAGAGTGGGGTAAAATGTTGTAGTGAATAGGTGAACTAATGCTCTTCATAAAGAGTTAAACGCTGTTCGGGCTATGAAATGACGTTGATAAATTGCTGACGATTTTGAGTGCTTCACGTATCTGACATTTACCACATCTGTTTTGCCATAAGGTACATGTACCCTATATGTCATCATAGGTACTTGAATCATTGTATCATGTTCATCATCATTATTTTTATCACTCCCTGAAATAATTCAACCATCATCTGATAGCCACATGGTGTTTACATGTAACGCAGAGTTAATGCCTTTCTGTCTCGCAGAGCTGACGGTATGAACCTTTACACAGAGTCAAATGCTTTACTGATCATCTTATTAGCATCCCCTAATCTAGGTTTTGATGTGTTTAATGAACCATCAATGCCGTTTTTATGGATACTAAAATATTTAATGTTTAGTTGTCAAAAGCAATTTCATACCTTATTGTTCTTCCATTTTAACTACATGTCACCTAACCTACTCAACTCCCCCTCCCAAGCCTTTTATTAAGTCAAAGCAGACCGGGAGCCAAATATCTGAAAAAGCGGCTCCCGGTCCTTAATTTTTTTAGAGAACCGGGAGCCGTTTTCCAGGACCAGGAGCCGTTTCCAAAATTGATGAAAATATGTATTCTTTTAAATTATTTGTTACACGTCACCTTTTATTTATACATACGGTAGTTTAATTTGTACAGTTTACATTTTGAGCACTCTTATATTAAATCACTCATACCTTGGATAAATCTGTCATATGTAGTTGTTGTAGTTCATGTTTAATACTATTTTCATGCCGTTAAATGTCAAAAATTGAAAAATGTTAGGAAGGGGAGAATTAAATTATTTTTATAAAAAAAATACTTAAGAAAAACCATCTATAATGACAATGCAGAGCTGCCAACCTGTCACTTTCAAAAAACATATTACCGGTATTCAGCTTGAAAAAGCATATTTTAGGTGAAAAAAAAGATTTTGCCTGTTTAACGGGTTTGTTATTTAGACCTGTCACTTAAAAAAATAAAATAATAAAAAAAAAAAATAATAATAATAATTAAGAAAATTTAAAAAAAGATTTGTTAAATATATTTACCTATTTGATCCAAAAAATCCATTATTTAAAACATCACAGAATTTTAGTCAATGAGTACGAGGGCCGCTGAATCAAGGCAAGTCTGGAGTTGCAATCAACTTTGTACATAAAGTCAATGCATCAGCAGGTCTGGTGTTCTGTTTTTCATTTGGCTTTTTGAAGATACCATTACATCCAAAGGGCATGCGATAGGCAAAAAAACTGGCAACAAAATCGCTGATTTCTTGATTTTTAGCGCTATTTTGATGAAACTGTTTCTTAAACCTGGGCTAAACCCCCGTGAGCTTTGGAAATATGACTCCGATTCCGCATTTTTGACGGCAAAATTTGGCTTTTGGGATGGATTTTTGGAAGTTACATCGAGACTTTCTTGTACTGACACTGTGTGTGTAGTGCAGTACAGCACTGATGTCATTTGTGTGTGTATGCATGGCTTGGGGAAATGCGCTCGTCTTAGCTTTGAGTGGTGTACATCCCCTTGTATTGTGTGCTCCGTACTCCGCTAGGAGTAGGAGATAGCGGCCGCTCGTATTAGTGCTGCAATTGTTTCTGGGCGATTTTAATTAGGATTCTCATTATGTAATGATTTGTTAGGGTTCATTCAGTCCATGTTTAACTCGTATCAAGTAAGTTTTTGTCACATTTGTGAACATTTAGTGCTAGACATGGGGAAGTTTATGAAAGTTGAAACAGAAAATGTTAATTCTCCCAGACCGGGCGCCAGAAATAAAAATGAACCGGCGCCCGGTACTCATTTTCCCCGTCTTACCGGGCGCCAAAAGTCAGGGACCGTAGGGTAAAAATCGCCCGGCGCCCGGTTAATAAAAGGCTTGCCCCCTCCATATAAATAGGTCAATTAATGAATCAGCCATTAAACACATACTGAAAGTCAAAGTCATGAAAAGTGTATAATTAGACTAAGTGGCGAGTGTCATTTGCCTCTTTCTAATTTCTCTGTTGATTTGCAATTGTCACTTCCGAATAGAAACATTTCTGAATCTCTCCGATAACCTGGATACCGGTACTCTGACCCTCGATCCACATAAAAACCCAATGCATCCTCTGTAATTGAGAGCAATAAGGGCTTTAGCTCTCTGTTGAAGGATACGAGTTATCACCCTTCTGCTTCTACACTACTGGACAATTAAACACCTGGCAAGTTTTACGCACATCAACGATGAAAGTCAATTACGGCTGCCCGGGAATCACATTATCATCATCTCAATACTCCAATGCATACACCTGTTAACACATCATTCAAAGACGAAATTTTAAGAGTACCTTGAAAGTCGGTAAATTAAGATGTTTAAAGACATCCTTAATGTACAGGAATAAAAATTTGACAAATGACAAATCAATCCATGCTATTAAGTCTACGGTACATGTTTATGCAGATTATTTCAACTAAATTTCTATGTGGAAACTTGTCATTATAAGAAGAGAAACAAAAGTGATTAGAGAATATTTTCCTTTCTATGGTGACTCTTTTCATTGAAGGACCAGTCAAATATCAACAATCAAATAACCATGTCACTATAAAACTGGTCTTTGTAGAAAAGGTATTGGACACACATTTTGTAAGTGTTGCTCACCAACCTTATCTTCATGAGTCTCCACTCACATTTTTCCTGGCTCAATAACTTTTGATTCAGAGTATCAAAAAAATATACGAAATACATGAGTAGATAGGGCAAATAATTCTGAACACACTGCATCCATTTTTTTGTTTCATGACTATATTGCATTTGATGCAAGGAATTTTAAAACCCTTAAATTGGCAACAGGTGGAGAGATTCAAATCATTTTTGTTTAAAATAAAAACTGGCCATATTTTAAACATTTCAACAAAATTCTCAACCGTTGATATTGTTATCAGAGACAATGCATTTTATTCTATCATTGTAGCAATCAAAGTAAAATATTATTTTTGCCAATTTAAAGAACGATATGTGATCAACTTTAATAACCCTTAAAATAAATCCTGTACTGAAAGGGATAAGTCATATATACTATGATACAGAGAAACAACTCTTGAGGCTCCAAAAAGACAATTGATTAATTATCGTTATCGTTATTGATAAGATGTGATTGGCCCTTAAAGCTCAAGTGTACTACTTATAGCTACCTCTATATAGCAAACAATGCCTAATCGATGCCTGTTGGTCCCCCATGATCCTCTTTTTCTAATGTTAATTGGATCTGATTTGATGAGAAATGATGGCCAAACTATTACAGACAGGCTTTAAGTGCATGGCATTTTGAGTTCCTTACCTGATGTAAGGCTGTCAGTCCATCCTCGTTTCCCATGTTAGGGTCCACACCATTCTCCAATAGCTGTTTAACTGTGTATAGGAAATACAAACAGAAAATGAAATAATTTTTTTATAAATGTAATGCTTCCTGGGAGAAATTTCAATTATTCAAACATATTTGTGGCTTTCACCCAGTAAATAAGATGGCCTGGAGGTAGAGTCGCTGCCTGGCAAGCAGTAGATGGCAGGTTCAAGTCCTGCTGGCTCCAACAAAAATTCTGACTTGTTTTTCAATTACAGAACGATCAATCGATCTTATTTACTGGGTGTACATGTAAGCCACAAATATGTTCAAATAATAGAATGAAATTAGCATGAAAATGTATGGGGAACAAAAAAGCAAGGTATTATACAAGGAAGAACTTGCATTGTCAAGAACTGAAACTGGTATGCTTTGTAGAAAAGACTTTTATGGCAAACTCAATATGGTCTTTTTGGAGCAAGAAGGCATTAACTCAAATACTATAACACACATTCAGCGCCCTTATGTGAAATACAAGGGATATCATAAAATGTTCAGGATCACACGATTTATTTTGAATTAGCATGAAACTTGATCCTCGTGTTTATTATTCCGTGGACGAAATGATTCATGAGAAACAAGAATCCCTCCTGAATCAATCACGGATCGCAATTCACATATTCCGACAGCAGCCATGGCGATGTCTTTCCAGGACGACCTTTCATGCATATTTTCCTAATTTTATTTGAGGCACTGAACAGAGAGGTAATCTAAATTTAGTCATCTTTTCAAGCAACTGGATGAACATGCAATTATATAAATCATGTTTCAATTCTCTAAAGTCCATCTATCTCCTCTAATTTTTCCACTATATCTCTCTTTCTCTTTCTTTCTCTCTCTCTTTCTTTCTCTCACTTGCTCTCTCACATCCCCATTTTTCTCTCCCATTTCTGATTTTTCTCTCTCTCACTTCTTCCCATCTTCCCACCCCCTCTTCCCCTTTATATTACTAAACTGCATCTCTGTCTATCTCTACTCCAAATCTATCCATATCCTACTACTCCCAACTCGCTTCCACACAGGATCAATTCTACAAATCCTGAACTACTCCATGATTTATTGATGGAGAAGCCGGATAATGCAATTTCCATCATTCCAGCATATATATATATATATATATCACATCCCCTTCATGCGGGTACGAAGCGATCATGAGTTGAGAGGAACTGCCAATCCCTGTGCCGGTTAAGGAGCCTCAAAATAGCTCTTCTCGTAATATGCCCTTCTCGTAATATGCCGCAATTGCCCGACCTTTAAAAAACCGGAGGATTTCCAGCGGTATTGAATGGTTTCTTCCTCATCCCAATGATCATCATTTACTGATTGGAAATATTCCATCAGTCCCTTAGGAATACTAGGCCTGGAAATTAATTAATCATGGATATTCTTTCTTCGAATTTACGCTTTTGCTCTTTTGCCCTACATTTTCTTGATTTCTGCAAAAGTATGTTAATCTTATTTTGGACTGAGACATATATGTACCCTTGTTATAGACCTACAACTAAAGTACCAACAAAATATTAAAATGTAATACAAGGGAATAATGAAACATTTGCATTGCAAAGCTACAAAAGATAACTCAAGATGCTATCTCAAAATAGCCAAAAATAGATTGTTGCAATATCATATTTTTATAATAGATCCAAACATGGCTTGTTTTCAGGTCACTTGTTAATACATGCAAACACAACCAAGGCAACATCTGATAAAAACCAGAAGGCATTTGTTTTACTCTATGTGAAATTTCAGGAGTCAATGTGCTCTTATCTCTCCAAAGACAACATGCAAAACTTCAGCAGGAATACATTTCAATTGATTAGATGTACACAGTTGTCATATTTACAAAGCTTTGGTGAATATACGTCGATGGAAAAATGAAAGTTGCGCAAGTTTGACTGCTTCCTATTTCATACCTTCTGTTAGGAGCAGACAGGAACTATTTGCTTTAACACAGAGCTGACGCATTTCTAACTCTGAATAGACAATGTGGTTTTCTTCTTTTTGTTCATGTCAGGTCAACCAGGTTTTCCTCACCGATTCCAATAAATCATTGAATTATAAATTTATCACCTCAGATTTCCTGTGCTAAAAACACATTATGGTTGGCTTTCCTTTTCCAGTCGCCACGCATTCCCCCAAATTAGCCACAAATGTATGAAGAAAGATTACATGTCTGGTTTCCATGGTAACTTCTAATCAACTACAGGCAGTGCTGAGTGGTCTTTTGAAAGATACAAGGCATGGTAGAGGATCAATAACAGAGCAAAGAGGAGGAGGGAGAACCCACTTGGTCATATTTTTGTTGAGGTATCACAGTTGAGTCACTTGAGTGGGTTAAAACACTTGATCAGAGATGTAAATGCCTTGGGTTCAGCCCAAGCATGGCATTAGTGTCCTTTGGCAAGACATTTATCTACTTTTTCCACTCTCCACCCAGGTGCTAAATGGCTACAGGTAGGAAGAAATTCCTTGAACACCGTGTGAACTGAAATCTGCATACCCTATTATGTAGCTCAGAGCCATAGCTGAAGCCCTCAAATACATTTCCTCAGAAATTAAAAATTTCTTGTATATTTTATTAAGTGCAAAGTGCATTTGTATAGTTAACAAGAAAAGTGAATTATGTATGAAATAAAGTAATACCTTTGTTTATCTTTCTGTTGGAAATGAAATAAATATGGATTGAATTGAATTGAATTGTGTGTAAGACTCGAGTGCTGTATTATCATCCATTGTCATTATCATCATCAGAAGTAGAAGAACAATAATTTTAAAACATTCCCTTGAAGGATCGTAAACACATAACCAGACACATGAACTGTGCGCTCTGAATATAAATCATTGAATGCGGAGGCCAGATTGACTTGACTGGTGCAAATCAAGTCTGGCTTTATATACTGCTACGCACCGTATGAGTTTCCTGTGATAAGATCATTTTATCAGGGATCACTACAATCAGAATTAGGTAAGTTACAGTCATTTGAGAGAAGATCAGAGGATACAGTGCAGCTGGAGAGAAACATTTACGCAAGGCGCATGACAGTAGAAGGGCCAGGAATGATCATAGAGAAAAAGAGCAGCTGATCGGGGGGGGGGGGGGGAGAAATGGTACAAAGCAGATTTAATAGCACATGTACATTGAACATGTACTTTCATGATGCTAGATGAAGTACAATGTACTTCTGTCTTATCTTTCCCCAAAGTGCTCACTGTAATGTAAAGTGGGACCATCGATCTATTTCAAAACAGATAACCATTTCATTTCCTCTTTAGATGTACATGTATATCAACAAAAACTTGTCTCTTGGTCTTGTCCAATTTGTATATCTGCAGTATATGTTTTTTTTAAGTGAGAGTGAGAGAGTGTTAATAAATCAATGGTACAATATTAGACTGCTTAGAAGAGCAACTATCAATGGTCACAAACATCACAGGAGATTGAAAGCCAATGAGACCAACAATATATGTCAGTCTTGTAAACCCTGAGAGAATTTGCCTCATGGCCTGCAACACCAACATGTCGGTCTTGTGGGATGTCCACCTCAAGAACCCTCATATAAATCTTCAGGTGGCTTATGACACTGTCAATCTTGTGGGCTCTTCATATATCATGAATCCTAAGACAACTTGTCAGAAGGCTGTCAGTCTAATGGGCAGTAGCCATTTATGGATATATGGGCTGTGCATTGCATATTAACTAAAAGTGTTTCCTGATCTATTATCTAACTCATACCCCATTCACAGTGGTTTTGAAATTTGTAGCGGCGTTGTAGCGGAGCGGCGACACCGCCATAACACCGCTACAAATGCATTCACAGTAGAAAAGTTATCCCGCTGCAGCAGCGGGATAAATATCATGTACCCATTCACGCTGCAGCGGGTGATTTTTATTACCTCCGTAACAAACACGTGTATGCATGGCTCATGACCCGCGAGTGACCCCGATATGACCGGAAATACTTCAGCGCGGGGTTTTCGATTGCTTGAAATTGCGCGCGCTAGCTGTACTTTACACACTCTTCCTCATGTAGCTAGCTCGATCATATTACTTTTTAAAAAACTAGCATTTTTATTGCTTCCAGTCAGAATTTTTTAATTTTTTGAAGTGTGAAATATTTTTATTTGGATAATTATAATATCTACATAATAATAAAATCAATTTGAATCCACTGGTTACTTTATTTCTATTTCACTTTATGTTCCCCATTGCTGGAGAAAAGAGGTCAGTGATAGGTAAGTAAACAAATCACACGTGTTTGTCGCGGTGTTATAGCGGAGAGCCTTCACACTGAGTAAACACCGCGACAGCAGCGGGACTGTCCCGCTGCTGTAGCTAGGCGAACCTAGCGATAGTTTGTCGCGGCGTTATCGCGAGGCGGTGTTATCCCGCGATAGTTTATAACGGGTCCGAGCCTTCACACTGAAGACAACACCGCGACAGCAGCGGGACAGTCCCGCTGCTGTCGCGGTGTTTGAGGCCACTGTGAATGGGGTATCATATACATGTACCTGTATATCAGGACTTGGTTTCATCATTAGAGACAAGATATTTTTGTTAAACATAACTGGATTAAGGGTGGATGCATACTCTTTATTAGTACATTTATAAGATGTACAGACACATATTCAGGTACAAATTATACGGCAAACTACAAATTAGGAGGGACAATCAAAATCAGAAGAGATTTTCCTAGATTATAGAAAATAAATCATCCTTATTTTCTCCATGACATATATGGCAATGAATATCTATAGGCCTTGTATCTGAACCACTAAATGCCAACACGCCCCATCCTGCAAGCTAGTATCAGAAATATCGATAGGATACAGTGATAAATCACTGTGACGTTAAAAGCTGCTTTTTATTGAAGGCCATTCTTAGATTTGACTGATATAAGTGGTCTAAAGAGCATCCTCCAGGCAAGATTTGCATGAATCTTTCTTTCCTTATGGGAGGCCTATAGATGGTACTGCAAAATACCAGGTCAGTATGTATAGATAGCATACAAGAATACAGCTGAAA